GTGTGTGTGTGTGTGTGTGTGTGTGTGTGTGTGTGTGTGTGTGTGTGTGTGGGTGGTATTTTGAGGATGTGTCAATTTGTTGGAGAACTAAACATCCATCAAATAACATCATAAAAGCAAAATAAAAGCATCAAATTTCACACTGCTGGTAATCATATTTAATGTTTTTAACCATTAATGCTTTAGCATATTTATATTTATATATAATATATTTATGTATTCAGGTGTACCCCAGGGGGAAAGCTCCTACAAGCACCTCTAGTTCCCATGGTCTTGAAGTGCAGTGTTTTTCTATTGTGGATAATTTGTTTCCTGAAAATATATATATTTTTGCTGATCAGCTAAATTTCTGCTGACTTCAGCTTCTTGAACTTGTCTGACTACTTCTAAATTAAAATGAAATGGAAAAAAGGCAGAAAAATTTTTGCTCCTCCCACCAACCATCCTTCAGATTTGACTCCACTGTTCACACGAATAAGACATTCATTTAGTTTTGGCTGAGGATAGATGAACATTACACAAAGAAAACACAACTTAATGTGTCTCGGTTCGAAAAATATTTTTTCAGAACATCAGTTTTCTGGCTTTTAACCAAAATAGGTAAGTTTTATTCAATTTATTGTCTACATTTATACATTTTCAAACACTTTACCACGAATTGTTCAACTTTATTTAATGAAATGCTTCATGTGAATCAAACTGCAACAAATGACATTAAGTCTAATGGGAGTTGGGCATTTGTTCTCTATAAGAAATAAACTGAAAGGATCTAAAACAAATGTGATAACACTGCAGAAAACTCAACTTGTGTTTTTGTTTTCCTGGTAAGACTCCAGCTCAGGAGGCAGATGTAAGAATGGCCGTCGAGTACCGTGCCTCCACCAAGACAGACATGGACATCGACGACAGTAAAATTGCGTACAAACAGTTTTTTTCAGAAGAGAAATTTCTCACTTCAGGTAATAAATAAACACMGCTCTAAAGTTAAACCTGCAAAACAAACTAAATGATCTGAACAAATTATTGCAGGAGCAGAAAACAAAACTACAAAACAAAATACAACCTTTCATTTTTAACAATGTTTCACTTTAAAACAGTCAGCTGCAGCCTTGAGTTTACATGTTGTGCTTAAAGGCTTTTAAAAAACTTATTTATATTTAATCTCAGGAAGGAATTAAAAGAAATTGATAATCTTTAGTTATTTCTTAGAAAACAAACAAAAAAAACAAACAACAAACATTTGTTTTGAACATTAGAGTATTTTTCTTAACTTCCTTTAATGATGTTGATTGGATCAATGTTCTGCTAGTTTTAGGTTTTATCTACTATTTAGCTCACTTTYGTTACTGTTTAGCTAGTTTTAGGTTTAACTACTGTCTTGTTGGTTTTTATTTTAAGATACTGTTTTGCTAATTTTATAGATTTTGTTTTGGTAATTTCATCTTTCCTGAAGATCATTTTAATTTGTAGTTATCATTTAATTCAGTTTCAGCTTCAGAAACAAATTTCTTAAATTACTCAAAGTCATCCAGCCCTCCCCTTGTTCATGTTATTATAGTAGTTTTCAGAGTTGTACAAATACTTTGTTACTGAACTTAAGTAGACGTTTTGGCGATCTGTACTTCAGTAATTATTTTCAGCCTACTTTCTATTTCTACTCCTTTCATTTTTTAAAAAGTTAAGAGGTAGGACGTTGTTACTCTTATTTCATTCTGGCTCATTATTGTTAAAAAAAATACCGTCCTGATAAACTGCACCTCATGGATGGAGTGAATTTATTGTGGTTGGATGAGAAATATAAATATTTACCATTATGACACAGTATTACTTTGTACACAATCCATTACAGCTGCATGCCTTAGAAAAATGTTTTTTGTAGAGGTCACTCCCAATAAATGTCATTTTGGAAAATCTAACTGCTTATTTTTATTCAATACTTTTACTTATAATAGTTTATCACAAAAAATCTGATACTTTAAGACTTACTCTGGTAACGTTCTTAGAGAAAACTTTGGCTTTTACCAAAGTCATTTTAAGATACTTGTACTTTTACTCAAGTATCACTTTGAGGTACTTTATACAAGACTGGTAGTTTTAAGTTTCTCAGAATATTCTTGAAGATTTTTTGTTGGTTTGTGTTTAAAAATGAAYAATATTTTGTAGTGTTTTGCAACAGCTCAGTAAAACCACAACTTCCTCATATCACTTCATCAATTCTGCGTTTCCTCTTCTCCTCTGCTTGCTGTTCTTCAGTTTATTCATTGAGAAACAGGCCTTTTAAGATTGCTACAGTTTGCCTCGGCGTGCTGTGCGTCCTCCTGGTGGCTGGGCTCGTAGGTCAAAGTGTCCACTGTAAGTCTACCTGGTTTATCCACAGTATTTGTTATCAGGATCAAATCACAGATTCATGCTTTTTGTTTTCTCTGCAGATCAAAATGTAAGGAAAGGACATGAGAACAGTCTGAAGACCCTGAGCACAGAAAAAGAGAATCTGCAACAAAACCTGAAGAACACCCAGAGCGAGAAAAAAAATCTCGAAAGTTCCCTTGATCAATTGCAGCAGCGTAACAATCGCTTGACACGGGCCAAGGATCAAATKCAGACAAACTTAGATTCCCTGACAAAAGCGAGATCGGATCTTCAAGTCAAGCAAAGCCAGCTGCAGGCCAGCCAGGATGCTGCGAAAAAAGCAGTGGAACAACTAAACACCACAAACGTTCAGCTACAGAAGGACAAAACTGCCCTAACAACAGCCCAGAACAACCTCCAAAAACGATACGACTCAGTCRCACAAAGATTTAAAGAGCTGCAGACCACCTGTGACTCTGTGACCCAAGACAGGGACAACCTGCAGAACAAATACAACAACGTGACCAGATCCAGAGAGCAGCTGCAGCTGAGTTACAACAACCTGATAAAGAAGCTTGAGGACCTTCAGAGCATGTTCAATTTCTCTAACAGCGAGAAGGACCAGATATCCAGCAGCCACCAAAACCTGACCGCGCAGATGAGAACTCTGCAGGACACGTACAACGCCATTAAAAAGGCAGAAAACGAGCTTCAGGCGTCGTACAAGTCTGCTCTCACTCAGAAGCAGGAGGCTGAAAGTCTTCTGAAGAACGTGATGAYGGAGAGGGATCAGCTGAAACTGAAAGCTGACAGCCTGACGGCTGAGAGGAGCCAGCTGCTGGAGACCATCAACAAACTCAACACAACCATTCAAGGTGAGCGGGAGAGAACAAAGGTTAAAGACATGAAGCACATCATGTAGCTTTTGACATCTTTGATGGCCAACTGGCTGAGGCAACCATCTTTTCTGTGCCGAGACATTAAAAAAGGTTTATATTGACGGATTAGTGTGTGTCTTTTTTGTTTCAGATAAAAAATGCTCTCCTGGCTGGTCAAAGTTTCAGCACAGCTGCTACTACACTTCTTCAATTAAGAAATCCTGGAACCTGAGCAGAGAGTTCTGTCAGAACAAAGGAGCTGACCTGGCCATCATCACCAGCAGAGAAGAAATGGTTTGTTTAAAAAAAAAAAAAAAACAACTCAAGGAATTTTGCTAGTATTTAAGAAAATATATGATTTGTGTTGAAACTGATCTAAAGAAAATCCCTTATTGTGTCCTTGTGTTCAGTCACTCTGTTGGTTCAGAAAAACACAATTATTTTTATTTTCTTGTAGAAATTCATCAACAGTTTGTACAGCAGTGACAAGGAGGCGTGGATCGGTCTGAATGATGGAGGAGTGGAGGGGCAGTGGAAATGGGTCGATGGAACGCCTCTGAACCAGACGTAAGAAACACAACTCATAACTCGTTATTTCATCCTAAAACTGATTCACCACATTTATAATGGAGATTTTAAATAAAATGTACATGTTTTTTTTAAATGTTTTTCAGGTTCTGGGCCAAAAACCAACCCAACAGCCACCAGGGGCGGGACCAGGACTGTGTTGAGTTCTGGCACCGAGGAATAGGAATTGGGGACTGGAACGATGAGAGCTGTACTGTGGAACAATTATTCATCTGTGAGACTTAGTGTCACTGTCTGCTAATGTGTTGTATAAAGAAAATAAATTCACCAAACATCCAGGATGTTCAGACAAAAGCAGAAACAAGCATCAACCGTTTACCGGTTTAGCTTCTTACACCTACTGTAAAACAGCTGATYTAGACTTTAATCAAAACCAAAACTCCTAACTTGTTTTCCTGCTGATTATTGATAATACGGTATATTTAAGATTTTACAGCTGCATACTTTGACAGTGTTTGTTTTCATGCTTTCTGCAAACACTTTGCTTCAACTAAAGGCTCATTTGCATACAAAGACCTTTGCAAGTATTTGTTGAAAAATGAAAATTACAAGGTGATTCAATTAACTTATTATTTATTTCATGACTGAGTGATGACATAACTCACATCTTAAAAATTCCTCCCCTTAAAAAACGTACAAAAAGGTATTTTTTCCCCAGTGTTTAACTTGTTTTTGTGGGCTGGATGTATCAGTACTCACATTGCACTCAAAAACAGCCTGAAATCTATTTGTTTAAATATTTCAGAACAGGCAGCTGATGATTAAAAAAAATGCTTTGTAAAATCTGACCATGAGGATTTCAAATCATATTAAGTGCATTTTMACAAGTTTGTAGTTTTACTGTATAAATATTTCTGTCTTTGATCAGTATTGATTTGCAACATAATTATTTTTATGACATTTTGTTTAAAACAAAACCAGTGTCATGATTATTTGATTCAGTGAATAAACTTTGTTTTTCTTTATGCTGAGTTTTGTTTTTCTTGCAACATCATGAATTTTTTTAGTGCACAATTAATAGTAGGCTCGGGCTTTGATTTTATTCTTCAACTGAAGAATTTGAGTAAAATTAAATTAAAAACATCAACAGAAATCTTGATCAGTTCACTGTAGGGCAGCAGGTGAGTATTTTACTTAACTAATTAAGATTAAAGAACATATTAGCTTTAAGGAGTGAAATCAGAAGGGTTATGAAAAACCCATTAGACACACAACTGTTCATGCTCAAACCTATAAGGTTAATTTTAGAATCATAGTTCATTTAACGCACACAGATAAAAGCCACACATGCACATGTAGAGCATGCAAACTCCACACAGACAGCTGTGAGTCAAAGCCAGAGCCCCATGCAGCCTGTTCACTATAATCATTATTATTCTAAATAACTCAAAACAAATGCTTACGGCTCAAAAGAGCTCAAAAGTTCWTTCATTTTAGATACATAAAAAACTCCAAACAAACTGAGTATTAAAGTTATATTTTGGCTCGATGGTTGATGACTCTGAGCCAGTTCTAAGTAGCAGTTTAGGAGAAAAAGACATCTTGTTTTGGCTCCCAAACTTTTCTTCACTGGAACGAAAAGAAGAGTGAACAGCCATCTCTGTTTGGAGGACTGAGCCAAATGAGCCGGAAAAAAATCCCAGAAAAAGGCAGTTAATTCCACCACTCATTGATGAGGACCCAAGCATGCAGGCAGCAGACAGGCAGGTGCATTTGATCTTTTTGTGTAAGAAGAGGAGATGCTTCATGGTGGGAAATACGACAAAATTTTCCAGATGTGTTATCATCAGTCTGGCATTATWCTGTCAAATAAACTGCAGTAAATATAAAAACAGTGTTTTTACTGCCACATTGTGATGAAAATCAACTTATTTGATCTGTTATATTTGAATTAAGATTTCCCCTTTACATTAAAAAGACTTARTCATGGACACATTTGGAGAAATTAGATTTTTTCACCCATTAGTGACATTTACACTGACTTACATTTAAAGCTTGTACAGCACTTAAATTTCTTCTTTTGAACACACAAGTCAGCGTATTATTTATTTCAAACACATGGTATGGATGCATTTTGACACTGAAAATAGAGAAAATAATTTTTATGCATGCATCTTTTCACATGTCTATGTGTTTGTTTAGAGCCTCCATGCTCGGCCCACTCAGGCAGGTAGGAGGTGGATTCTTGGTTCAACATATTGTTGTGTGGGAGCAGCTCTGTGTGCGTACACACCGACTCTCAAGAAGGTAGAAACTCTGTCACTGGCGGCCTCTCAATATGATTAAAACCTAATGAAAACAACGTGTATGACACAACATGATGAAACACAAAATATATTTATTATAGATCAGTCAGGCAACAAGGTTTTTTTTTATGGGAAAAAATTCACACAAAAAGGAGAGTCTTCTTGTCACTGTTTTTACATTTAAATTCATAAATGTCTGCAGTTTAACTTTTAGAGGAAAYTAATGTAAATTGAATCATATTACTTCTTATTTTCACATTTATCTCTGAAGTTTGAACTTTTTCTGACGCTCTTCTGGGCTGCAATAAATTATCATAGATCAAAAGAAGCAAGATGGCAGCGGTGGCAGCAGATGTATGTAGCTGTGCAGTATCGCTGCAGGAAAATATATCCAATTTGGCTTTACAGGCATCTGCAGGTATGTTTTTGACCAAATTTACCTCAGCTTTAGTGTTGTTGTTACTCTGTATGCTACATAATCAGAAGATCAAAGACGC